TATATTATTTAAGACCACTATTGTTAATAATATTGAAAAAATATTTCAAACCCTGAAAAAGAGAAAACAGAATGATTTGTAATTATGAACTCGTATTTTTTATTTTAAAATGGAAAAGATGAAAGGAAGTAATTAGGAGTTCTCGAATGGTTATTCAAGATTTTTGGTTTATGTGAAAAACAATTATTAGAATTATTAGAAAAAAAAAACAATAAAAGAAATAAGACTGTGATATTAATTAAGGAGATGAAAGGAACTAATTATAATTATAATGTTTATGGTAAGCGGTCATCAGTTGGATTTTACTTGCCATTGATTGTATAGCATATAAAATATGATAAACATTACATGGAAAGTAATATACCTGTTTCCGCGTCTAACCACATGAAGATTACCGCATCTAAAGACCGTAATTTAAATGAATATTCATTAAATTTTACTCACGAGTAACACCTATCGAAGTTTTGTTTTTTTTTTTTACACATCGAAATTAACAAAAACTGACTAGGAAACAACGAAAGTCCACGCGATTGTTATAATAAAAAGATTTGTTTAAATATTAATAATTAATGAAAAATCGTGTTGAAATATTAAAAATATTAATATTCTTACGAAGCACGCGTCGAATTTGACTTGTTCACCATAGGACGATCGAACTATAACTGCCTCGAATGTTTACAGGTGTCTCTCGAAGAAAAAAGTAAACATACGTATAGAGATAGAAATAAATATAATTCGAACATTTCAATCGTTTAGAAAAGGTCGGTGACTGTTTCAAAAGTACGTTTGATCATTGTATATACAGTCGACGAATCAACGAGTATTTACCACAAATTTCTACTTAATTTTCTATCTTTGCAGTGAGTCTAATTTTTTCCTCTGTATGATCAAATTATGTTTTTTTAATATTTTCGTCGTGTTAGTCAAAAAAGCATTCTCACTGTGTTAAAAAATATCTTTTCCTTAACGTCTTCTTAGAAAATCAACAAATGATCGATCTTTAAAACGAGTCTATGTAGTCACTTATAAAAAAAACTTGCTTTCTTATACTTTGACGTTAACAAAAGTTATCGATAGACAATCAATGATTGTTTACAGAATTTCTTATTTAATTTTCTATCTTCGAAACGATTAGAATTATCAAAAATTTCTCGAAAGAATTTATTCCTCCCTCCCCATAAGATAAAGTTCTTTTAATGTTATACATATTTTTATCCGAAAACTTAATCGAAAAATCATTATTTAATTGTATTAAGAAATATCATTTATTCAATGATTTTATAAACAAAAAAAATGATAAATCTATAATATGTTTCTTTATATATTATATAAATGTAGAAATATTTTCCAAGATGAAAAAATTGAATGTGCATAGGTGTGCGTGTTATCCATTATTATTGTTATTATAGAGTATCTATAAAATAGATATAGATAGATAAAAAAAGAGACGAAAAAAAATGTGTAGAGTGTGACGGAAAGGGGAGCGGAAGCATTAGCGAGAGAGAAGTCACGGTTACATGGCCGTGGGCCATAGGCAAACCGAGTGAGAAAACTAAGGAGAAAACGAAGGAAAGAACGAAGGAGAGAACGAACAAGCCGGGGTTGCCGGAAGTCGAGTGACCGTAGCGGGGCAGGTGAGCTCGATCCCTTCTTTTCCCTCTCCGCGTCCCACCCCCTCCTTTTCCTTTCCCTCCTCAAGCTCTTTCAAAGGAAATGACGTGTTCCGCGAGCGACCGTCTCTTTTACGCACGAGAAGTGCCGAGAAAGAAGAGGAACAAGAAGAAGAAGAAGAAGAAGAAGAAGAAGGAGGAGGATGAGGAGGAGGAGGAGGAGGAGGCGGAGGAAGAGGAGGAGGAGGAGAAAGAGGAGAAGGATAGAGAGGGGGAAAGGGGAGGTTGCTTCGCCTTCTGGCATCGAGAGCAAACGCTAGGACTACGTTCTTCTCACGCTCTCCATCTCCTTCCCTCTGTCCCTCCTTCTCTTTCTTTCTCTTTTTAATATTAACGTACGCATCCCCCATAATTCGTTTTCCTGCTTACGGTGAATCTATCCTAAAAATTGTGCCTAAAAAGTAGTCTAGCCTCCGGCACATCCATCCTATGATCTTGAGAGTACCTTATGTTGCTTATATATATATATATATTAGTAGAAGAATTACATTTTTCTATATTCTTCTTTTTCTTCTCATGATTTCTCATGTTCATACATTAACGCACGGGTATATTATAAATGCACTAACACCATGGAAATCTCTTTTATCAATCTTGTTTCTATAGGTAGGAGGTACTCTTACTTATTCTTCCTTCCTGAATTACAATTTACCTCTTCTTCTTCTTTTTATTATTATTATTATTATTATTATTAATATTTTGTTTCTCCATGATCGTTTTTTAACATCCTTCCTGTATCTGTTGTTTTTGTATTTTTAATTTGTTTGATTTTTTTTCTTTTCACATCGAATAAGAAAATAAACGGATCTGGGAAATGACTGGAAAGAGCATTCTCGATCATTGATACGAATACTCATGGTGTAACCGGTTACTAGAGTAGATCAGAACTCTCCTTCTTTTTGATTTTCTTTTCTTTTTTTTTTTTTGTTGGTCTTGTCTTACGCAGCGGTAAAAGTTAGCAGCTCGCGTTTGGCAATATCGTAGCTGCGGCAACGGCGACGGCAACGGCGACAACGGTGAAGGTGGTGATAGTAGTAGTAGTGGTGTAGTGGTCTCATGACGTTGGGTTGGCGGAGACGGCGGATTTATGAATGAGCCAGCGCTACCGGAAACGCGTGCCGCAAGAATTTTCACCTCTCCACGCGTCTCTCATTAATCAACTTCGTATAGTTGTGGAAGTATTCGTATAATAAACTCGGTCATTTTCGCACGATTAAGTCGAAAGGATAAAAATTCATCTATATTTTATTTATGAATATAAACATGTACGCAGGCGTGTGTGTGTGTGTATGAAAGAGTGGTGGGGATTCTTTTAACGAGACAAATATCAAATTAAACGTGAATGATAATTTCTCACGGTCCGAGTTCCAGGTGAACCAGATTTGTATGAACTGGTTATTATGAAAGTGACCTGAGTCATACATTCTTTTTAATGGTTTAGATATTTTTCACTTATACCATTTCCATAATTACCGACACATAGAAGAAAACTAGAGATGATGGTACTTATGGATTGTAATCATACGCATCATCCTCGTCGTCGTCCGCTTTTCTCAACGACAGTTGGTATTATATCGTCCGTTCATAATATTCTCTATCGATCTTTCTATCTCCACTATCTTTCTTATTCATCGTTAAATCTATCTTAAGTCGTAACCATTCGCTTCCGCGTCAGGTCTCTTTCCTTTATCGCGCGTACGATTTAATAACCTGCGTCCGTTCGTAACCGGTACTATCTTTTTTTCTCTCTCTCTCTTTCTCTCTCTCTTTCTCTCCGGATATAATAAGTAAAAAGAGAAAGAGAAAAAAAAACGAAATCGAAGAAAAATATTAAAAGACAACCGACGGAATCTCAAGGATAATTACACGTTAACACGAGACGAGGCGCAGATTTATTTTCATTTTTATTTATCCTTATTTCTGCTCGCGCAAAACGATAACGTTCTCGTGTGTTCGGTAACGAATCATGCAAAACGTTTCTTCTCTCTCTCTCTCTATCTCTCTCTCTTTGAAGAAGCAAGGTTAAATTATTTACGAAGTTTCTCTGGTACGGTTTGCACACGGGCTTACAAGGACGTCTTAATAAGTAACGCATTAAATTTCAAACGGGCGTTTACGGAATAATACGTTTTAATATCTTCCTCGAAGAGAAACCGTTCTATCCTACATTTATATATTTAATTGTTAAATCTATATCTATAATAATATTTGTAATATGAAATAAATGAAACTATATAATACATAATACATGGGTTTATGAGCGTGTAGTAAATCCTATAGAGATAAAAAGAATGAGGGGAGGGAGAGTTAAAAAAGAAAGCTGTCAATGTGTTTCTCTCTCGTGTGTGAAGGAAATATAAGTACTGTGTACTACTGGCCGCTGACTAAACGCGAGCATGAATGAATCCGAGTAAGCGAGCCGCCGCGATTGAAGAAAAGGACAGGACGGCCCTGGTTCATTCGGTTAACGTCGGTAACGCTCGGCTACGCTCGTTTTCAAGCCGCCGCAATACGTCGCGCGCCTAGGGCTTCTCTCCACGGGAGAATTCATTCATAAAACTGACGAGCACCGAGTAACTGAATGGTGGTGGGGGGTGTGCGCGAGTCAAGTGTGCTTCTCCCACTACTTTTCTCTCTTTCTCTTACTCTTCTACTCAATGATGCTTGCTTCTTCTTCGTCTTATTACTTATCCTCTTTCGCTCCTATTTCCGAGACTTCTTTGATTTATTATATTCATCATAATTCATATAAATCATTTTTATTCGAAATGAACTCTTAACAAATTATACGAGAATATAAACGATTTAATAATTAATAAAATATTGAATTATTTAAGAAAGTAATCATATTGCAGATAAAATAATTAACTTAGCGTATCTTGTCGGAAAACAAAAAATATTGAAAATAAAAAAGAGAAAAGAAAGGAAGGAAGGAAGCCTTCCGTTGCTCTTCACGTGTGTCTCCATAGCATATGCATCCCTCTCTCTCTTTCTCTCTCGCATACACTTATACATAAATGCCTGACACATAGAGATATAGACGTACACATAGGATTCTTCTCTCTTATCCCTTCGTCGAGAAAGGAATATATAAGTAAGTACTCCCACCCGAACGTCTTGAACGTCTCTCCTCCTTTCTCCTTCTCCCTCTCAAAATCCTCTCCCCTCTTAGACGGGCAGCTCGCACGCGCGCCGTACGCGCGCGCGTTCTCTCTCTTCTCTCTATCTTCTCGTAGCAGCCACGGTGCTTTTGCTTCGCGAACAACTTCGAGCGTCGCGTCGTCCTCGTCCTCGTCGTCGTCGTCGTCGTCGTCGTCGTAGTTGGCGTCGTCGTTTATCTCATTCTTTTATAATAAAAAACAACGCAAATGATATTTTCTATGGTCAATTTTTCGGCATTGACCAAAGATATTTAAATATCGTGATAATTATGTTGTGATACTGTTTTACTACAAAAAAAAAAGCAAATAAACTGGAAGTATCGTGACGTAGTAGTAATTTCCCTCTTCCTCAACCCCCTTTGCCCCAGTGATCGTCATTATCGTTTCTTCTACAGTATATACTTTGTTCCCGTTGTGTACGTATATACTTTGATGCGCGAGTGCGCGAGTGTGTGCATGAGAACACCCCCACCCAGCCCCTTCTTTCCCCTCTACCCCTACTTCTTCTCCTTCTTCTTCTTCTCCTACGCGGATCGTCACGTTCTCGCCGTATTTTCGGCGGCGATTCATATTTTCGTCCACGCTAGCTCATCTCTCTCTCTCTTCATCCTTCTTGCTCATTCTCCCTGGCCTATTGCGCAAGCAGGTAGTCGGAAATAGCACCGTAGCTCCTCGCGGTTATGAATTGATAGCAAACACATGCTGGACACGACGGTGAACTTTTTTCCACCGGGGGGTACCACCTTCCTCTTTTTCTTCTTTTCGTCATATTCGTCATCGTCGTCATATTCAAAAGTCAGAAAACTCTATCGAGTGAACAACAACGAACGATGATATTTTCTTCTTCTTCTTTTTCTTCTCCTTCTTCTTCTTCTTAATCTGTTTCAATCCGATTTTTCGTTGTCGAGAATGCGTTATTTGGAGTTTTGTCGTCGTGGTCGTTATCGTGGTGTCATCAAACTGTTCGTCATTATTTTTGTCGTCGAAGGTGAGTTTTCGGGAAGGAAGGTCTCTTTGCGGGGTGGTCTCAGCTCGCAACGAGTACCGATTATTGCGCAGCACGTGTATCATCATCATCATTATCATCATTATCATCGCCACCAACAGCATCATTATAATCATCATCAATATTCGGCTGCCTAATGACAGTATCTCGGGGTTCGTGCATGTTCGCCGATTACACGAGGACTACGGCACACATGTACGTGGACTACGCTACTACGGATACGTACGTCGGAATGGGAATCAAGGCCATGAAGTCGTATGGCAGGCCGAGAGGTAAATACGTTCTCTATAAATGTATATACCTATGTATCTCTAAAGTCCTATACTTTTTTTTACGTAAGTATGCGCGCAAGTGAAGTTAACGTTTTGCAAAGGACACACAAGCAGGAATGCGTGGAAGAAGTTTTTTTTGTCTATAATCGAATGTGATATAATTGTTCGTTAGATTATTATATCAATTAAAGAATTCCCTATTTTCTTATCCCTTTCTTTGACTTTTTACTTAACTCGGTTACCTCGTAACACGTTTCGCCCTCTAAAAGTTAACTCTGACTTTGACATTGGATATGCTGCAATCGTTGCTACTTGCTGCGGATTAAACCGACGAGAACGGTAATACGTATGTAAGTATATACATACTTATATGTATGTATGTATGTATGTGTGTGTATCTATCTACCTATGTACATATATATGTGTGCGCGCGTGTCTACGTGCATATGTGTAACGCATGAACGTGATTGCGCGCTGACAGCTCAGCAGAGAGATGTCAATGACGCCTCGCTATTACTACTATTACTACTACTATTATTACTATTACTACTACCAACAATTTCCTGTACCAAAGAGAAAGATAGAAAAGGAGAGAAAAAGATCCGTCGTCCTTTTCTTTCTTTCTTTCTTTCTCTCACTCATTCTACTCTTCTTCCATAAGTAGAGTATATACCTCTACTACTCTGTTAAACTTATCCGCGAACTCTCCGAGCTTCCCCAGCACCGATCGAGCGATCGAGCAGTGAAGCTTCCTGCCAACCGGTTTGAGGGAATGGCTCGATCCGTTTTCTTCGTACATAGATATTGCGGTCGAAGACGGAATCCGAGCGGCGCTCCGATCCGCACCCGAGAATCCATTCCGTTCCTTATGGAACAAACTAAACTTTAACTTTCAAAATTCTACTATTTACCAATTTACTTTCATATTGGATTTTATTTTTTAATCAGAAATATACATACTATCTTTTTATTTTCATGCAGTTTTATAATACATATTTTTGGATAAAAATAATAAGATAGAAATTATAATGAAAATAATATCTTATCTATACACGTGTACACATTAAATAAAATTCCAACAATTGTATACAATTGTATATATATATATTATAAATTCTCGATATAGAAGAAACATACAAAGTAGGAGCGTTAAAGCTTGCTGGCGAAACGATAAACGAGATGCGATTCGTCGTAATCGCATACTTTATCTGGCACGCTGAGAGTAACGGCTAATCAGCCATGGCACGATAATTGGCCTACGGTCCAACGGCAATATCGTTGAGTGAGTGAGAAAGAAAAAGAAAATCAGAAAAAGAGAGAGAAAGATAGAGATAGAGATAGAGAACGAGAACGAGAACGAAAAAGAGAACGAAAAAGAGAAAGAGAGAGAGAGGCTTAGTTCGTTGAGTAGACGACGACTATGACGACTACTACACGAGGAAAACGACGACAACGACAAAGATGAACCAACCAATGAAAGCAAGTTGGGTAGCGTAGTTCGTATTGGTAGCAGCAGCACCATCAGGAAGTCGGCATGCCGTGCACCACTCCATTATCATCGAACACACTCTGTTTCTAAAGCGTATCTCGGCGAAACACGCGGTTTCTTGATAATCACCGACCAACAATGGCGCTACCACTTGTTGCCGCTCAACCTTATCGCTACGGCCGACTCCTCCTATCGCCTAAAGCCTCACCCTTCACCCCCTTCTCCTCCTCCTCCTCCTCCTCCTTCTCTCTTTCTCTTTTAATCTATTACCTCGAAGAAAAAGGAGAAAATGTCAATAAAAAAAAAACTTACTCTTTGATTTAATCAATGTTATATATATATATATATATCTCTTGATTACGTATATTTAAAAATTGTATTATTTATTTAAATTTATTTATATATTTAAATTTATATACCCACCTTTTAGAGATGTTATATTGTATTATTATCAATAACGCTTTACACCTTTGGTTTGATCTAATTTGACGATATTCAGATATAAAATGTATAAAATTGATTATTCCTATTCTTTCGTTATTATAATCTTTGCTTTTGAATCTTTGGAGGTTGTAAATTAATATTCAAGAGACTCGTTTAACCTATTTATTTTATTCAATTATTCAGTGTTTTAAAAAAAGAAATAATAGGAGGAGTCCTTGGATATATTTAAGTCCTCTTTGCTCGGTTGCGTTCTTATCTCATGGAAGCATGTGGTTTTTCTTGATAATCGTGAACGTCGTTATCGGCTCGACCTGTGGCAAAAACTTCTGCTTCTGTTTCTTCTTCTTCTTCTTTTTCTTTTTTATTCTCCTTCTCTTACCTCGAAAGTTTCTCCTATCTGCCCTTAAACCTTAATACGAACAATCTCTGTTGTATCACGTGTATACGAAGATACGTCTACAAGATACCTAATCTCTAGGATTTATTTTTCTTTCAACATTCATACACAAAACTTTGATTATTTTTCGTTCGAACTACTAAAGCAATTTTCTATCGAAAAACGTAACTTCGAATGAAATAGTTGTTTGTCTTATTCTTCTATCGCGCAAAATAATCCTCTGCCAGGTTTACGTGTTCATTTTATTTGTCTAAGTATTTCATTTGATAAATGAATTAATAAATAAATAAATAAATAAATAAAAAAGAAAAAAAATTATAAATGTGACGATCGTACCGTGTAAAATTCGATCGATTTTAGTTGGAGGAATACAAAAGAGGCTATCTATTTGAATTCTGTTTAACGAATGAAGAGGAGCCTTTTACGGTAATCGCCGAACGATGCAACAGGTGTACAAATACGTTCCCTAACAACAACCAGACCTGCTTGTGCAGTGCGGGGTGCAAGGTAGACAGGCGCACAGTAGGGCGCTTTGCACCGTGCACGGCTTCTTAATGCACGCAACGAGCTATACTGCTACAAGCGCAAATCGCTCTTTCCAACTGGATCGCTTTTAAAACCTTACCTCGAATTCCTATAACTTGTTCCATCCAGAAAAAAAAGAGAGAGGGATAGGGAGAGAGAGAGAGAGAAAACTTTGCATAAATGGATACAGAAAATTACCTTTAAATTATCTGACTAATATTTCAAATTATTTTCTTATTTTATTGTTTTTTTCTCTATTCATTATTTTTCATTATTTTAAAACACTAAACGTACAATGATCGGTCAAATGATCGTTCGTAAAATTTTTCACAGAATTTTTTTGTATAAGTTACAGTGCTATTTTTGGTAAGTCAAAAGTTCTTATTTCATAAATGGTATATTTTTTGCTTACCATATATCGTAAAATATATATGGCTTTTAAAAATACGGGAGGATTATTTGATTCGCTGTGGTAGAAATAAATATACATAAAGTTCGTTAAGTACTTATGTAAATATGTGTGTGAGTTCTTCACAGGTCAAAAGGATTAACTTGACTTATAGAAATAAAAATGTCATAATATAGAAATTGTTAAATTAAAACGTTTGAAAATATTTTCCCTTAAAAATATCTTCTTTTTTTTTTTTTTAAATGATTTTCGATCATTTTAATATTTTAATATTTTTAAATATGTAGGATGAATTATTCACGGTCTAAAAAAAATGACTCAACTTTAAGAATTTTATGAAAATTTTAACACCAAAGCATAAAAAATACAGTTTATTATTATTCTTTTTTAAAATTGAAACTAAAAATAATTTATGACAATGTATAAAATTGTGTTCTCGAACCTTTTTATCTAATGGAATTAATCGATTTATCAGATAATCGGCTAAACAGCTAAAAAAGGATTTGAATAATGAAATAAATTTTACAAAGAGGAGAAGAAGAAGAAGAAGAAGAACAAAATGTTGGATCCGAATTAAGAAACGTTTTGGAGACATTTAGGTGCAAGACTGTTAGCTAGTTCGCGACAGCTGCAGTAGGGTTCGTTTAGCTGCTGAGTTTAGAGAAGGAGAAGGAGAAAACGAAAGAAGACGAAAAAGAAGAGAAGGATATATAAGAGCTAAAGGAAAGAGGAAAAGAAAGAGAAAGAGAGATAGAAAGAGAGAGAGAAGACGATAGTGGCACGTGTCCTACGTCCGTTATAAGCTTGTCGAGGGGTAGGAACCCACTTAAACTGCTGAAAGAAAATGAGCGGTGCGCCCTTGGCTGACACTAACGATGCGGTTATTCTTTCCGTTGTCTTATCCGCCAATGAGATTAGTTACAAAGTAATATACCTTGTTATAGTACATATATCAGTCAATTTATGCGAAACTTTGGATAATTTACTTTGCAAATGATATTTTTTTTTATAATGGTCATGTGATATATATCGTAAAAATACAAGTGCAATAGAACAACATTTAATATAAATAAACGTATAAGGACGTAGAAAAAAAAGAAAAATATAAAAATACATTTACATATATTATAATTATAATTATTGTTATTGAATGAACGTCAAATAAGAAGCTAATGTTTATTGCATTAAATCTCATGTAATAAACATTAGCATTTTAAAAGGAACGCATTTCGTCGGGTCTGTTATTTATCGTTCGTCAGTATACTAACTCGTCTTTATACTTTAAGATTAATTAGTAATTACAATGACTTCGAAGAGATCTTAAGCCCTTTTTCTTCTATTAAACGCATTTACAAAAACACAAAAAGAGAAAAGAAATAAATAAAAGTGAATTTCGTGGAAAGAAGTAAAGGGACTTTTTTTATTATAGGAATTATTATAAAGCCAGGTTAGAATCGTCTACGAATGGTTTTTTTAAGCGAATTAAGGTTATCGTTTAAAGGGGAATACTTATCTACCGGTATAATTAGTATGGAATACGTATTTTCAAGCTGTACACGTGTGTACGCGTGCGTGTGCATGCGCGTTTACGTTATACGCGTATGCACGTACGTAAAAGAGCCACAAATAACGCGAAGTTATGGAAATTTATGTTGAACGAGAAGTGGGTTGGTGGTGGTGGTGGCGCTGAGGAGGAGGGTCAGGTGTCGACTGGGTCAAAAGTCAGATTCGAAAGGGATTGCATTACCATTTTGATTCGAACGATAGTTCAAAGCACTTTCGATGAGTTGACAACATTGGTGTTTTTCTTTCTTCTTTTTTTTTACTCTCATTAAACAAAATCTATTGGAGATGTTTTGTAATGCATAAAAAAGCAGCTGGCTTATATCTTACCAATCTTAACGTCGAATTCAAGATAAATAAATTCGATGGTTTTATCGCGCGAATTTTTGTTATCCAATTTGACAGTTCATTTGTACGAAAAAATATAATTATAATAAATATCAAAAAACACGAGAGAAATGATGAAAAATATTGTACGATAATCGCGAGTAACTCTATATTCATTATAATTATGGTTATGATTATTATGATGATAATAATGATGATGAAGATAATGATTATTATTTGAAGAACGTTCAAAAGAAATTCAAAGACGTGACATAACGAATGTGAACGTAATCGAAATAAAAAAACAAAAGTATACGTATATATTGTCTTTCGAGAAGAGAATCGCACGAGCCGATAAAATACGTTCCTTAAATGGTGTGGTTTTGCGCGCGCGTTAAATATTATAGAGACAGTTTGTAAATATATGTGTATATGAGAGTGTTCGTCGTTGTATTCTCGTCGTCGTCTTCGTGGACGACGGCTACGCATGATTGACCGCATGAGCGGTCGTGTTGCGCATGCTTAATGGACTTTTGCCACCGTGATTCTTTCGACGAAACGTGCTTTTGTAAATAACGTAATAACAATTTCATTCTTATATTTTTCCTAATAGTTTTTTATTTTGTTCTTTTTTTTGTTTTCAACTCCACGTCTCTCTTTTCTATCCTCACATTCTTTTATAATATTATTTTTTTTCTTATTTACTCTTGATATATATATATACGTGCACTTTTTACATTATATTAATTTTATTCATGACTATCTTCATTTTTATAAATTAAATATTTACTTGCGCGTGCGTGTGTGCAGCGGTGGTGTGTGCAGCGATGTGTGTGTGTTATTTTCTTAATTTAAAAACTATAAAATAATAAAATGTAAGTCAAGTATTGAAATCCATTGTCACGTAATTCCTCTTATGTACTTGTGTATTTAACCCATTTGCATCATGACACACTACTTAATATCAAATGCTTTTTGTTCTTATATTAAAATTACACACTCACGATATTCACATATACACATTTTATATATGCATTTTATAAGAAAGGCCAAGGATCGTCTTAAGACACATGAAATTGACAGGTATATACGCCATAAGGTGCCACGCCATTTGCCATGGTGCGTATGGCGCATAGAGTGCTGTTCGAGAATATATACACATAGATACACAGAAGAGAATAAGAATAAGAAGAAGAAGCAGAATAAAAAGAAGAAGAAGAAGAAGAGTAGAAGTGAAAGAAGAAGAAGAGAGAGAGAAAAGATATACGCACCTGCACCTGCCTTTGCCAGTTGTATCCCTCTTTTACGACGATGCTATCTAGGATGGTGCTCCTGGCCGTTGGCACTGACGCCACGCCGCTACGACACCTGACGCACGCGTACACATACATTCCCATGTATACGCAAATGGATAGATGTATAAATATATATATACACTAGCAGCAAGAGAAATACTTATATACACCTATACATAGACAATTACTTTAACCTCGTCTCTTTGGCTTCGTATATATGCATTCGCGAGAAATACCATTAACTTGCCCTCTCGTGCTTGAAAGAGAGTCTCCTCTTTCTCTAACCATGACGCCGTTCACCATGATTCTCACTTTCCATAGGAAACTATTTGCAAAAATATCACTACTATTTCTTAACAATATGTTTCTTCGTACAATGACATGCGATTTTTATTACGTAAGATAATAATTATTCACAACAAATCATTTTTATTTCTTTTTTCTTTTTTTTTTTTTTTTTTTTTTCAATTATTTTAAAGACACTGATTATGAAAATGGTTCCAATGTCTTTTATATATATATATATATATTTTATAATATGGGATAGAATCTATTTGTTTATGTAATGTTGACAGTTGTAAGAATATATATTATTGAATTATTTGTATTTTTGTTACAGATATACCGGCACAAGTGCCGCCGTTAACGCCTGGGACCAACAAAAAAATGACAGAGGCCCTAGAGGCCTCATTTGCTTCTTGGGAGAAAGAGAGAGTACGTCTAAATATAAATAAAGGTTAGTCTACATTTCTCCTTCTATCTTAAAATATGAATAAATACTAAAATTAAAGTAAAATATCAATCCACAAAATACCACCCACCTATACACAACAAACACACATAGATACACTCACACAGATACACATTACATATAAATATCCAATTATTATTATTAAATATGAAGAAGAGCGTGACTAATGAATTTGAATCCAATAACTGTATTCTTTAGTTTCGTTGTTCTCGTTCGATCGTTTGACTTGATATTCTATTCGTTGAACAATAAAAACCAGAAAGAGAAAGAAAGAAAAATAAAATAAAATAAAAGAACGAAAAATCACGAAAGTGATGGATACGCGCGAAAGAATTCTACTACATTTGCATTATGTATTATTGTATATAGGTAAAATATACATACATATGTAAGGTGTCCTGGCTTTGGGTATATGTGTATATATGTGTGTGTTTGTATTTGTGTAATACGTTATACTACTGGTTGAGATCGCGTGCGACGCCCGCACTTAGGCACGATGTAATGTGATGTGCGACGAGCCGACGATGTGCAGGAATTGTGAATGTGATGTTGATGGTTCTCTGATGGGGAGCCGATGCCACACATCCGGTATGCGCATTCAGAGCCACGCGGGTGTGACGTTACTTCCGGTCTACATGCTCCGAGTTCGTACCCTCGGGCCAGCAGATCACTTCCATGGTCTGACCTCCGTGAACCAACGATTGCCATTTCAAGCTTAAACCTTGTCTGTCTGTCTACATTTTTCTCTCTAGTTTTCAATCTCTTTTTTCTCTTTGTTCATTTGGTCATAGTGTAATATCGATTCTAGGTTAAACAACACAACTTCTTAAACCCGTATTTTTTCTTTTTAAATAATCTTACAATTAATATTTAAAAAGAAAATAAATGTCCCTAAAAGAGTAAAATTAATTGTTGAAAATAATTCTGACTCATCTTCTTGCATTCTTCAACTTTCTTTAATGTTGATTTCATGAGGAATTAAAAAAAAAAGAAAATAATTAATCTACAAAGTGTCTGGAATGAAAATAATCGATTTAATTAATTCGATTAATTCTACATACTCTTTATTTAGAAAATCTACCTTTTTGAATGAATCAATTATTACGATTGAGAAATATTAAAAGATTATCAAATTCAATATGTAAGTTATTCATCCACGTATTTGAATAATTTAAGTATAGTATAACACTGATTTCAATATTATTTTCAATTTAATCGTTTCTTATGTATGCACACTCTTTTTGAAATACTTTAGGAAACGAGTGTTACTATGTTAGAAGTAAAGTAAGTTTGTACAACAGGTATATACAAAAGTTCCGATCTACCTGCGTGAACCTTCCTAAATCAACTAACCGAGATCATATGTGTATGCAGTCCTGTCTTTTTGAAAAACTTTCATTTTCACAAATCTTTTCCTTTGATTTTTATGTACAATTGTGTGTGTATGTGTGTGTATGTTGATTATCGTTTTGTTTGAGTATCTAATAAGAACGTGATATATTATTATTATCATCGGCTATTGTACTTTCTAATAATCATTACATCGTCGTCATTATTATTTTAAATAAAATGAAGAAGAATACATAAAAATGAAAATTTTCGAAATTTTGAATATCGTGTACGAAAATGGCATTGATTCGGCACACAAGATAAAATATTAATCAAATTCTTTAAATGACCGATCATTTACGAACAAGTAAAACAGTACAATCAAACGATTTAAAAAAATAAATATTATCGATAATGTGTTTGTATAAAAACGTTCGAAAATTCTTATTAACGATAAACAGATCTTGCTCGTTGAAAGTCAATGGCGGACTGAGGAGTAAAGAAGAAGAAGAAGAAGTGTAAGAGAAAAAGGGAGAGTAAAAGAGAAAGATAAAAAGAAAGAGAGAGAGAGAATGAGAGAGAACGACGAAAGAAGGACGAACACAGAGTCTGTTAACAATACTGACAAGGAATAAGTTATGTAAACATCGACACGATCCTCAAACATAGTCGGTCGCTTTGATGACGGTGTGCCGTTAGACACGCTCGCCTTGCTCTTTACTCACCTTTTCTATATTTATATATTATTATCATCCCACGTCTTTTTCTCTTTCTCTCTCTCTCTCTCTCTCTCTCACACACTCACTTTTTCTCTCTTCCGATGTGCGAAAGTATCTCATCGTTTTCTACGAATCATTCCGTCTCTTTTTCTCAACCGATCGTCGGCTTCCATTCATAAAAAGATCTTGGTTCTCTCATCACGTATCCCAAGAAAGACTAGAAAGAGAGAAACATATGTGTAAGTATGTATTTCGATCGAAGCCAAGATTTCGATCGTTATATACAAATTTAAAGGGGGAGAGAGAGAGAGAGAGAGAGAGAGAGAGAGAGAGGGATGTAAATTTTGTTCGGTTCTTTTCTTCTTTCTTTCTTTTTTCTTTTCCTTTTTCGTCTCAACTTTGTTTAACTCTTATGAACGTTTACCTTCGCACCTTCTCCTTTTAAAAAGAAAGAGAGAGAGAGAGAATGAACGTCTTCATTTTCTTTTTTCTTTCTTTCTTTTTTAATTTTAACGTCGTTCTGTTAAACGATCATCATTGTGCTAAACGATCTCTTAACGAAGCGCCTATTGCTATTTCATTTGAAATGCACGCGTCAATGTGTTTGCGTTTTCAAAACTAATGAATTGTCAATAAATTTGCGTTATGAGAGGTTTGGTTGATCATGAATTTCGAATTTGTTTTTTTGTACGTTCTCGTTCTTTTTCCGTAACTGTTAGTTCAAAATAATGAAAGGGTAGGGCGAATATAAGGGAAGTCAAAAAGAAAAATAACGTGTCAGTTGTTGAAAAGACGTCAGAACGTCAACCTGTAGGGAGAGAGGGGTGTTTCGTCTCGCCGACATCATCATTTCTGTTTGCATTATGAGCCGAACTGTACTTTTACGTAGGAAGATACCGCGAAACAATGCAAGACGCGCGTGCAAATATGGGCGCGCACTTCAAATGGGACATTCCAATGTTTCTCGGTATTTCTTTCTACCCAAAGAGAACTCTATATGGATTCGGACGATAGCCTTTAGGTTCCTTTCCATATTTTTTTACTATTCAATTTATTATCTAATACATTTCATTGATGTTAATTTAATATATATTTTTTTTCTTCCACGAGCCAATCATTTTTAAGTAATTTTTAACTTGTAATTGGTTTGTAGTGTTTAAATCTAAATAAAAAGTTTCGATCAACTGTAATATCTTTTCAAATATATAATATTGTTAATAAACAATCATAGAGTGGTTTGAAAATGTCTAATTAATTGAAAACTAGTAATCAAGCTTGTGGCTTTTAAATTTAACAAAAATTCAATCATTTTCGATTCTCCCAAAGAGTATTGTTCAACTCTGCATTTTTATATTTTACAAATTAATATGATATTATTGTTGTCCCAATGAATCGCAGGAAGTTTAAGTGATATCCAAGATAACGTATTAGTTGGTATCTTATTTAATGAGACAATCTCGTATAATGTTTTTTCAGACCCAAGGCAATGGTCGGAAGCAGCTGTCGCCCACTGGTTGCATTGGGCTATCCGTGAATTTTCGTTCGAGGGTGTGGCCATGCAACCCTGGCAGCACATGACCGGAAAACAGATTTGCGCTATGGGAAAGGAATCCTTTTTAGCACGTGCCCCAGCCTTCATGGGTGACATTTTATGGGAACACCTTGAAATGCTGCAAAAAGGTACACGTAACTTTTATATCTCATTCTTCTTCTTATTCTTCTTATTCTACTTTTCGTTTTTTTTTTCTATCCTATGAACACACACTTGCATCTACTTTTTTTCGGAATCTATTTTTGAATCTACGAAGAAGTTAGTCAATCTACGAGAGCATATATATATATATAAATAACTTCCACTAAAAGGGTGAAAACATCTCTGTAGAAAAATAGAAAAATCTATAGGATGAAGATAAATCGTTATAGCACCTGTTTTTCCAATCTTCTTTTTTTACAATAGATCCAACGTGTCGACAAAGAAACTATTCAATGTACCAGCAGTGTCGATCATTGACAAACTTCTTCGTAAACTCGTAACTTCCACGAAATGGATGAAAACGCGTTTAAAAAAAAAAAAAACAGAAAGAAAAAATAGAAAAATATGTAGAAAAACGTATACGTATACACTGAAACGTGTGTCTGTGTACGTTTCAATACGTGATGGAGATAGATCGTTAGATGCAGGAGTAACAGGAGCAGGATCGGTAAAAACAGATCGAATTTCCGTAAAATCGCAATATCACGGCAGGTACGCGGACAAAGGACAATGACGAAGGGGAAGTACTACTTCTGCCCCCGTTCCCCCTGTTCCTCCAGCTCCTACTCCTCCTTCTCCTCTTCATTCTCCTATGTATATTGAATCGACGTTCAGAGTTTTTATTCGAATGTGAAGGATAGAATGGGGAAGGGAGAAAGAATTACGAGATGAAGATGAAGAAGAAGTAGAAGAAGAAGAAGAAGGGAAAAAAAATAAAAAGGAAAAATAAAAAAGTATGTGAGGGAGAGAGAGAGAGAGAGAGAGAGAGAAAAGTTTTTCGGGTATAGAAATTCTTATTCCGGATATCCTGCAACCAACAGAATAGCCCCGTGCCAATGTCTCGGCCACTTAGGTGCTTTTACAAGCCAGCAATTGAATACCCACAGGATCCACTCGAGTTTCGATCTCTCGAGATCTATCGTTATCCGGTGATAGTAAACGAAAACAAGAATGAGAATATTTTGTGTGTGTATTAGAAAATATATAAAAAAGATTTGTCTTCTAGCATTTATTTTTATTTTATCTATATCGATCTGTCGATCTATCTATCAATCGTTTGTTTTATTTATTTGCTGACTCGCGTAGTTACAAATATTTAATAATCATATTTTTTTTCAATCGAATGATTTATTATTCTTCACCGAGTTCCATGTGTTTGTCGTATCGAAAATATATAGAAAAAAAAAAAGAGATAAGAGAAGGAGAATGAAATCGAATCGAAAGGAGGACAGGAAGCGGAGCTTCATCCATGATTTAACTTCCATCGAGTAAACTCCCATACTTCCTTATCGATTATTCGACTTTTTCTATTCGTCATGCTAGAAAATTTACGTACTGCCTGTCAGTCATCTTTCTCTATCTTTCATTGCTTTTATTATTTGTATTTTTAATTTAACGTTTTGAGCTTTAACAAAATTTAATATAAGTTTCATTCAAATTTATTCACTTTTAGTATAAAAATTATTTACTAAAAAACTTTTCAAAGAACTAGCAAAGTTGTACAATTTACAGCATTGCAATCTCTGATTTGATTTTCTCCTCTGATTGGGAGGGGTTGTGTATGGCTGTGTGTGTCTGTGCCCTAGAATTTATTCTTTTGAACGTTGTTTAAATAGTAATTTGTTATTTTATAGAATATCAAAGTATTATGTTCGATGTAACATATATATATATATAAACTTTTTTTAAAAATCAGACGTCATATATAAACATGATAATATTACGTTAAGAAAATTTCATTCATAGTCGAGTATATGTAATAATATTCTCATGCGTGTATTACGTTAATCGTCATCATCATCATTATCACCTTCCACGATCATTTTAGATTCTCGCAAATGATCTATATGACTATGGAGGTAATAAAGTGTTTATTCTAGAACGTTATTATATATATATATATATATATATATATGTATTTGCACACTACCATGACATACACCCGGGGAGCATGGGTAATCGCTTTGATTCCATGAACGAGAACGGATATTAGGAAACCCGTTGTGTTGTAAAGTGAAAATAACAAATAAAAAAATAAAGAAAAAAGTAGAAACTGAAAAGCTGCATCCTCCTCTTATTTCTAAGCAAGCAAGCAAGCAAGCAAACAAACAAACAAGCAAGCACGATCGAGTCACAGTGAAACTTGCCGTTTGCTGCTGTTCCGCGCTGACCGATGCGATCTCCGATCATCGCTGTTGTGTTATTGTTACCTCGCTTTCCTTCAATTTGTCCTATTGTTACTAAAAACTTTTACGAAATTACCTGATTATAAGATTCTTTACTTTTGGAAGATAAAAATATATTTTTTTTTGGTTGTAACATATAAAATATGTTTCTCTGTGTAATCAAAATAAATGTAAAATACAAAACAGATTTGTTTCCAAATAATATTTGGTGCAATTTCAAGATGTGTCCTATAAGATCTACCATCTTCTTTTCCTTTTGTTATTTTTATTTTATTTTGTTTTTCCTCTGTGGTGTTCAGATTTTACAAGTTTGATAATTAATCTCTTTCTATTTCAAGCATATATTACGTTAAACATATATACATAAGTATATTTATATGTAAATTTCTGTAAAAAAAAATATATCTTCTTCTTTATAATGTTCACGTATAGAAAAATTGGTTTTTTAAATAATAGCAACGATCGTGGAACATTTTACAAACTGGATAATTAATCTTTTTCTATTTAAAGCATATACTGCAATGAAAAAAAATATATATTCATATATACGTATGTGAATGTATATATATATATATATTTGTTCACATCATAACAAAGCAACGTTTTCCAAGCAGGATAATTAATCGTTCCTTCTATCTCGAGCATGCTCCATTTTGTGGTCGCCAATTGCGTCGCATTTATAACGCTATCATACTAAGATAAAAGCTCGTTTCTCGTTCTCGTTGACTTTCGTCCGACATTCTTCTCTCTTTCATCGAATTAATTAAAAAGACAAATTTGTCGCTAGATTTTAACATTTTAAATACTAATCGATGATCATTCTCATAAAAAGTATATAAACCTTACACGATTAGGGGTATCTACAATAAATATAAAAATAAAAATGCTGAAGATCGAATACTTTCGTAAGTTTGAATACCTTGAACTTGTGAATACCCTTCGGGATTCATTGGTTTGACAAAGTGTTCAATTTTAAATTTAGATGTCGATGCTGAGAAGGCCTCATTGGAGAATACTGCAACAAGCAACTTGTACGAAAGCGTATGCGTACCAGATTTAGGTGATTTTTTGGGATACCAAGATTCGTCTGGTCATCAGGATCACAAAAGTCCAGCTACGACACCAGCAAGTTCTAACAGCACTAACTCGTCCGGCCAAACGCACGGTCCTACCACTCAGACAACAACCCCTACGCAACAACAGCCATCGTCCGGCGCTGTTTCTTTGGCCTCGAGACAATATCATAACGACGGTAAGTCGTTAGTTATTTTTCCTATCTATAGACAAAAATACCTATTCATATTATTTATCTACATGTGTCAACGATGATAAATCGATTAGTCAAATGTGAATGATCTTCTCATGGAAATATTTCTAAACGATTATTAGAATTTTTTGTTGCTGCTTTTCGTTTCTTTTCTTTTTTTTTCTTTTTCTTTTTTTTAATCGACCAGTCGGACGAAGGATGATGAATGAACGAAACGTTTTCCATTTATTTCTGACAGAATTAACTCTCGCGAATTTAAGAACGATGTTGCTGCCATGTTACGTCAGGCTAAGTGATAGGATCTCTCATTAGCATCGTCTACCGTCACTCACGCCTTCTTATTCTTATTCTCTTCTTTTTCTTATTCTCCTTCTTCTTCTTATTTCGCAGATAGTATTGCATATAACCTATCAAGTTTGAAGAAATAACTCTCATTTTCATTATTTTAATCGATCAAAAATGACAATCTTCGTTTTTGCTGTTCTTCCATCAATTCGATTTTTAAATTAATAAGAAATTTTATTATAAAACACACATTAATAATTAAATCATATACAATATCCTTTTTTTAACAACAATTAAATAACAATTTAATAACAAATGCAAAATAATGAAATATGAATACGTTTAGGGAATATAAAAACGATGGTAAAATCGTAAAGGATGTTTTATCAATGAAAAGAATTAAAAAAGAAAAAGGAAAATAGTATCAAAGATAGAGAGAGAGAGAGACGGAAATCGAATGAAATAGAATGGAATGGCACGGAATGATGGAGAAGATTATAAAGCGAGTCTCTTCTACGCTAGCAGGCCAACAATTATCTAGTCTCTGGTCTAGGGGGGGCCTTACGTCATTGCAACAGTGACCGTGGCTGAACGAGGGAAAGTCTGAGCGTGCGAGTAGCCCTCCTCCACCTTCTTCTCCTCGTCACCCTCATCCTCACCCTCATCCTCCTCCTCCTCCTCATTCTCCTCCCACACTGCTCGTTCACTCTTTGTACGCTTCACCGCGGACGATGAAGAAGACGATTCGCGAATTACTCTCCAAACAACATATTTTCTTTCAACCCAACGCGATGATTTCTCATTCTCTCAGAAAGATTATGGTCTTTTATTTATAAGTTAAGTATTTAACTCCTGGTGGTTAGAAAACAAATATTATGTAATATCGCGATAAAGAAATAAGAAGAATATATAAAGGAAACAAAAATATACGCAACAAGTGAAATAGAAGGAAAATTAAAAAGCTACGCAAACAAATAGTTTCTGTGTTTGAAATAAAAAAAAAAAAAAAAAAAATAATCATTGTAGATATTAAATAGAAGTTAAAATACATATAAGTACACGAATGGAATCTTCAATCGTAGATCGTTAATGAATAAAAGAAAGAAAACGTGTATATATATATCTAGTGAAATGTTTTTTCGTTAAATAATTGATACTAATTCAAGTTAAATGCATGGCGTGATTAGAATCCTAATATTGAATCGGATTGTTGTTATTATTATTATTATTATTATTATTATTATTATTATTTTAGTATCTAATTAATAATTGAATATTTGAATGATTTATCGTCGAACGATTTCATGGCCGTTCAATAAGATAATCGAGTTAAAAAGAACACCAAAGATTGTTGTTACTCCTTCTATTAATGGTGAGAATGAAAATAAAATAGAATTAGAGAGAGAGAGAGAGAGAGAGAGAGAGAGAAAAAGAGAGAATGATCAGAATGCTGTGTGGCCCATCGTGGTTAGTTAAAACGCGATGGTTGCTTAACAAATAATCATTGTACTCGTCGGTACGATTGACTAAGCTTTCCCATAAAGGTACCAATGGCGTCACAATGATACGCCGATCCTTTTTTGGTTAGCGGGACCGACGTCGTGCTTTTAGAGCCTAAGGCAATGGTTTTCAAAGTGATACGTCAATATATAAATTAATTACAAAAATTCAATAATCAGGTTTTCTTCCCAAAAAAAAAAAAATAGGAAAAATCATCATGAAAGTTTAATCGAAAAAATCGATCATTTCCACACAATAATAATTCTAAACTATAAAATCAATTGTTTCAAATAAAAAGGAAATAAATTATTGGTGAATTATATTTATATATATATATAAAAAAATTTAATGAAGGGTGGGTTATTTTGATTATAAAAGTTTGAAAACCACTGGCATGGGGGAGGGGGGGGCCCACTGAAGGAATCGATTTTGCACGCACACACGATAGAGTAAAAAAGAATCGTCCTTTGTCGTGTTGCGTCTCCGAATGCCAGCAAGTTTTAATTTATACATACGATATATATATACAGGGTTGCTTGCTAGCACGCGGGAGTTTTCTTATATGTGTGATAATGTATATATGTATATGTTTATGTATGCGTACGATCGTTTGTGGGTCCGTGCACGTGCGACGCGACGCATGTACGTGACGCGAAGCAACGAACGTTTCTCGTCGTCGTCGTCGTCGTCGTCGTAGTCGTCGTAATCGTCATCGTCTTAGAAACAAGCTTCGAGTTCTCAGTTCTTCTCTTCGATATATACACACACATTTTCTAAATCTTTTATCTTTCGTTATTACTTTTTTGTTTTCTATTTCTACAAAAATGTTTGTCTAATTTAATAATAAATATCAACTTGGAATAATTGAATATATATATTATATTGATACATATTAATTGTTAAATAATTTCAAACTTAAACAAACAAATCGTCTAATAGTTTTTGTACTTTTTCTATAACAAATTAATTATATATTATAATATAATTATATATACAAATAAATTGCATATTAATTCATTTCGTTTATGTATTATATACATAAGATTATATTTTTTTTTTTTTGATTTAAATATTATAAACAAATTTGATATACCAAGTGTATAATATAACGAATGTTTCTCAGAATATTTTTTTCTCGCGCGAGAGAGAGAGAGAGAGAGAGCGTATGAGTGTGTATGAGAGAAAGAAAGAAAGAAAGAAAGAATCGAAGATAGAAAAAGGTTTTCTACCAAACGTAAGACGTGAGCCAAAAGGCGTAGGGATAGGAAAAGGGACGACGGGGTAGTTGGCGCAGGTTGTATTCATTCGTTCGTTCATTCATACTTCGTACTACAAAGACTCGAGCTCATTCAGTACTCACGACACGCACACTCACATATCTCACTCTCTCCTCTCTCTCTCTTTCTCTCTCTTTTTCTCTCTTTTTCTATATATGTATGTATTCTTTTCGTCCCTTTTCTTTTTCCTGTGCGTGTTCTTCTTCTCTTCGATATATTCGCTTTCTCTTTTACTCATTCTCGACGTCTTCCTTCATTTTAATCTCTCTCTCTCTCTCTCTCTCTTTCTTTTTCTTTCTTATCCACGTATCTATATCATCAATGTAGTACATATATATATATAACATACACACAAATTTATATGTAAGAGAAGTAAAAGAAGAGGTAAAACGGGATTGGTCCGCCGCGAACGAGTAAGTAAGGCGGGCTGAAGGGCTACGAAAAAGGAGGGTAAAATGTAAGCTCACATTACGACCGGAAGTCGTAGTAGAAGTGGAGGCAAAGGGAGGAGCAGTCCTACCCCAATATATTCTTCTAAAAAGCGAGATAGTTTTATAATGTCCTCGAGTGCTCCTCCCTTAATGCATCCAAAAATGCATGCATTCCCCTCTCTCCTTTTTTTTCTTTTTCATTTTCTTCTGGCGTATAAGCGAAGGTATTGTTGCTCATTTCTAAAGGGAACAGGGAATCGTCGAGACGCCTAAAACGTATTGAAACTAGCTTAGAATAGAGAAGTGGCTACCGAATCTTCGTTCGTTCGTTTTATGTCAAACTCGTGCTGAAAATATGTACTCTCTATTCTTTCGTATATATAATGTAATATAATATAATATATATATATATATATATATTAAAAGAGCATTATCATTTGTGATTCATACAAGTTGTCAGCTTTATTCGTACGTTCTTGTATTCGTTATAAAATATATATATATATATATATTAAAAGAGCATTATCATTTGTGATTCATACAAGTTGTCAGCTTTATTCGTACGTTCTTGTATTCGTTATAAAAGATAATAATGAAAGAATGATAAAAAAAAAAAAGAGAGTGAGTTAATTATCTAAAATTTGTACTCAAAAAATAATAATGATTCACGTTGCGTGGTAAATGTTAAAAAAGGCAACAAATGTTATAATAGAAAAACATAATATATGATATACCTGTGTCAAGATTCATTTCCGAGACCTAGTAAAAGACTGATCGAGAATGTAAAGGTAATAAGGCTTCCCAAAAAAAAAAAAGGGACTTATCTTCTCTTTCTCTCTGTAAGTAAATTTGAAATCAATGTATCAAGCAATGTTAGACGTACACATCCCATTATTCTTAATTAATTTTAAAATATTTATAATTAAAAACTAAACTATAAAAGACATAGATCATAAAGAGAGAGGGTACTTCTCGTAAGTCCCATCGTTGCTATCGCCACTGACAAACCTTAGTCTCTCTCTCTCTCTCTCTCTCTCTCTCTCTCTCTTTTTCTCTCTTTTTCTCTTTCTTTCTCTCTGTCTATGAAAGCAAGGCACGAGGCGTAAGGGAAAGAGCACTTCCGGTCCCCTCTACATCACGTGCGAGCCGCCGAACAGAGAAACCCCCGGTTCCCTCGTCCCTCCTTACATCCGGCCTACGTCTCTCTCTCTCTCTCTCTCTCTCTCTCTTTTTCTCTCTTTTCCTCTCTTCCACCTCTCCCAACAGCCACGACTCCCTCTCAAAAATAGGCTAGAAGGGCTCCTTCTCATAGCGGCCGTTTCGTCGATGGACGGGAAAAGACGTGCCTAAGCTCTATATTAGTTCTACCCAAAAACGTGACCTTCTTCTTCTTACTATTATTATTATCATCCTTCTTTTCCTTTTTATATATATATATATATATATATATATATATATATATTGTAACTCAGAGCTCATGAAATTTGTCTGT